GAGCAAGCGAGCGGCGCACAGACTTCGCACCCTGCGCCCGCCCTGGCCAGGCCGAGCCCGGGCCCGGGACCTGAGGACCGCGCTTACGGATCGTTCTGTCTTGTTCGGCGGGGCACGTCGGTCGGAGGAGGCAAGTAAAATTAGGTCGGGCATGTCCTCCTACAGGCGGATGTTGGACGATACGTTCAGAAGACTCAAAAAAATGCTAAACATACACCAAACATAATCCCCAGACTATGTTTTGACTATTTCTGAATACTCCCCCAGTAAAGGAGCATGCCCGACGTCAAAGCAAAGACATGAAGCAGGAAGGCGGACGGAGCCGATTGGGCTCAGAGGCCCCCGCAGAGAAGAGCTGAGCACAGCAGAAGCACACCGACGTTTGGAGTAGGAGGGCGCATGGAACAGACTGGGGTCTGGGCGCCCAGGGACAGCTACTCTCAACGGCCACCGTGCTGCCTGGGTGATCCGGCGGGGGGGGAGGAAGGCGTTGGTCGAGAGCCTGCCTGCTTCGCTCTGGACAGCCCAGCGTGTGCCCGCGCGCACCCGTGCTGCGCACCCCTTTCGGGCCTGCACGACTGACAAAGTGAGGTTATCTGGGGGGGAAGGTGTGTCGGCGGCGAGCGAGGGGGGGGGGAGTGAGAAGGAGAAGGCCTCCCCAGAAGCCGGAGGGGCTTCTCAGAAGCCCTCGCGCCTTCGGAAAAGGCTTAGAAAACTTGTTCCAAAGGACTTCCGAGCCTTCTTGGAAGGCGCGCCCCTTCTGACCTGCCCCCCTCGCTCGCCGCCGAGCGAGGTGGGGAGTGGGGGGGCCCGAATACCCGGGTGATCGCCAAACCCTCACAGGAGCAGTCTCCTCACCGAGCCCTGTCCCGGCTGGAATGTCCTTGGCCCCGCTGGCCGACTTACCCCTCCCCCCCTGGTTGGGGCGGGTTGTATGCTATTCCCTTCGGCTTCCGCGGGGCCTAACCCTAGCTGGGCGGCGGCTGACTGGTCCACCAAGGGGTCAAACATCATATCAAGGGCCCGCGGTAATATGATGTTACCTTCCTGGGCCTGATGATGATAACGCTGGCGCCGATGGTGCGAGTGATAACGATGACGATGATCGTGGTGATGGCGATGATGTTGATGCCTTGTTCTCGTCCCCATCGTCAGCGTCTTCCTTCTCCTCGTTATGATCATCGCCCTCGTCCTCTCTGGCTGCTCACCGTTTTCCTCATACTCCCTTCCTCTCCCCTCCCTCATCCTGCATCGTCGAACCCCTCCTCCTCATGCTTCTGCTCCTCCTGGTCCTCCTTTTCCTCGGATGTCCATCCTTATTATCCAACCCCTCCCCCAACCTGCATCATCCAACCTTCCGCCGCCTTTACTTCAAAATCATAAATGACCGCCGAAAGTGAACAGGACCACCCAACAAATTAAACAGGACCATGCAAAAATACACAGGACAGCGAGGAAAAGAAACAGGACCACAAAGAGACGAAATTGACGAACCGGAAATTAAACAGAACCAAGCAAAACACTAAACAGGACCACGAGGAGACCAAACAGAACCACAAAAAAAAGAAACGAACCGGACACCGGACAAACTAAACAGGACCACCCCAAAAAGCAAAGGGGACCACGCAACAGGTAAACAGGACCACGAAAAAAAAACGAAACAGGACCACCCTCAAAAGAAAACAGGACAATGCAAAAGGTAAGCAGGACCACAAAAAAAACAGGACCACAGAGAAACTAAACAGGACCACGCGAAAAAATAAACACGACCACGCAAAAAGTAAACAGGACCACGCGAAAACTATACAGGACTACAGAGAATGTAAACAGGACCACCCCAAAAAGTAAACAGGACCGCGAAAAACTAAACAGGACCACAGGGAAAGTAAACATGACCACCCCAAAAAGTAAACAGGATCACGACAAAACGAAACAGGACCACCGAGAAACTAAACAGGACCACCCCAAACAGTAAACAGCACCACGCAAAAAAAAGTAAACATGACCAGGAGGAAAACTAAACAGGGCCACAGAGGAGAAAAAAGGGGGACCACCCGAAAAAATAAACATGACAACGCGAAAAAATAAGCAGGATCATGCAAAAAATAAACACGTCCACGGAGAAACTAAACAGGGCTACACCAAAAAGTAAACAGCACCACGCAACAAGTAAACAGGACCACGGAAAAAAAAACAACAAAAAAAAAAAAAAAACAGGACCACGCAAAAAGTAAGCAGGACCACGAAAAAAAGCAAACAGGACCACAGAGAAACTAAACAGGACCAACCCAAAAAATAAACAAGACCTTTTCACCGATCATGGTTGTGTAGGTGGCGAAGGCGCTGGGGATGATGATGATGATGATTACGATGGAGGCGGTGACGATACTGGTGGTAATGATGACTGTGGTGACGGCCGATGAGGATGAGGATGATGAGCGATGACGCCGACGATGTGGATGCTGATGGCGAAGACGATGACGTCGGCGATGACGACGGCGCGCGTTTCTCTCTCGCGTTGGCGCAGGCGGAAAGGACAGCCCAAAACAGCACGCGACCGCGGGGCCACCGCCAGAGGCAGGAGGCAGGTACACCAGGCCACGCCTTCACCATGGCTCCCAAGGGAGTCCCCACTGGCCTGTTTCGCGACGGCGCAGGCGATGGACGTTTCTAATCAGCAGCGCCTCCGGCTTCTTGGATTCGGCGCGCCGCTTCTTCGACACAAAGATCAGTCGACACAAAGATCAGCTGTCGAAGGTACAGGGTGCACAGGAAGTGGCAGGAACACAACTGGCACCCGGAGTTAAAAAGCTCCGCCAGCGCGACGTGGTTACCACCCCTGATATGTCACCCCTCGCGCTCGCCAGAGGCAGGGCCGCCCTCGTCGAGACAAACTCACGTTTGAGAAGCGTGGTCTCGCCGCCCTCTTCCTGCAGGATCCAATTTATCTCCGCCATCCGCAGGTTCCCCTGCCACTGGTTCTCGTGGTACCAATGCAACCAGCGACGCACGTCGCTGGTCTTCGCGAACTGGTAGTGCCAGAACTGCACGCAGGTGAGCCTGTCAACGTAGTCATCTGGCACCCGCGTCCACCAGCGAGCCCCCCAGTGCCGCACCTCGCCGCCGTGCTTGTTGAGGGTGCACTTGACGTACTCGTCGTCGGTGGCGATATGCGCGGCGACCTTCGTGGCCTCGAAGGCCTCAGCCGTCAGCGCCGCCCAGCCGTCGCCGAGCACGGCATCTGGGTATGCCTCGCAGAAGGGCGCGCCGGAGGCAGCGCCACCACGGCCACCCCAGACTGCCTCCCGCAGCCGCGCCCTGCAGTGCACCTGCTTGGAAGCAAGCAAGCGCACAACGTCCCACAACTGCCCTGCTTTGTCTGGGGCGTCGTTTCGGTGGGCGATGCCTGAGAGAAAGGCTTGCGCTGGAGGGATCGGGTCGCAATAAAAGTCGAGCGCGTCCTCCATGGCTCGCGCGTTCCTCTCCCAGCGCTGCCGAAGGCGCCAGTTCGCGCCAGAGGCAGCGACGGCGTTTGCCTGCCAGCCCTCCCTACTATCGCAGGAGCGCTGCTGCTTCCAATTCTTTCTGACGACTTGGCGAAGTTCGGCGTTTTGCACGTCCGACAACCGAGCAACGCGCGCCTCCGAGAGATAAGTCGTCAAGTCCACTTCGCTATCCTCGTCGTCGCGCGCGCCAGAGGCAGCGCCCGCGTCGCGCGGTCTCGCCCGGCTTCTGGAGCGCGGCCTGGTCCGGCGCTCGGCGAACCCCTGGGGCCTCCCCCGCTGGCTCGCCGCCAGTGGCCCGCTATCCTCGGCGTTGTCCTCCTCAGCCGGATCCTCAGCCGGAGGAGCGCTCCCAGCCACAGCAGCTGGAGGCGCAGGGGCAGGAAGGGCGATCCCAGCGGCATGCGGAGGGGAAGCCGGCAGAGCGCGCGGAGCGTACCACGCGCCAGGCGGTGGCAGGTGCGCCACTGAGGAAAAGTCCATTGGCGGCGGCAGCGGCGGAGGTAGCTGACGCACCGGCACGCCTGGCGGCGCAGGCGTGAGCGGCGGCGGCGCAGTGGGAAGGGGACCGCTTAGACGTTAGGCGATGCCGAAGATCGGTGCAGATGCCTTCGCGGCTTGGCAAGGAGGGCGTGGACACCGATCCGCAGCGAAGACCGTTCAACCGTGCACGATCGCGGCTTCCCGATAGCGCAGATCGCTCGATGCATCGGCCGAGCCTGGGCCGCTGACGGCGTTCAGGTTCGGCCCAGAACGCCCGCGCCGGGGTCGTCAGCGCGCCAGCGCGGCACGGCCCAGGATGGACCTGGCCAGGGCAAGCGTTGGTCTTAGATGCTCGCTCTGGGGACCTTCCTGGAGTCACTCGCCCCACTCATACATGCATCGATGCCGCGTCGAACGTCCGCCGACTTGAGCCAAACTGGAGTGGAACTCGAATCGAAGTAGAGTCAAGCTAAAATCAAACCAGATCCGCCCCGTGGACCCAAGCACCTCCCCCAAGCTTGAAAGCGACCAGGAGGTCTGAACTGGATGGACCTCGAGGAAGTCGGTCAAGACGGTGGGATAAAGGCAAATCCGCTCAAAACTGTCCCTGGACCCCTTCCGGGATCCAGCCGGCGCCGTTTCTCACCCCAAGCCCGTTTCGGACGGCCCTGGGGCCCAGAAACGGCCCCGGCCGGGAGGATGAAACAGACAAACACACAAAAAAAAACGTATCGAGCCCAGCACCTCGAAGCTCCCCCCCCTCCTGCTGGCTGGAACGAATGCTGTGCCACCTCGGCCCTATCGGCTACACGTAAGAGTGACCCGGGGGGGTAAGAGTGACCTTTGGTGCGCGGCTTTTTGGGGGCCGCGGGGGGGGGGGGGGGGGGGGCCAATCCCGAGCGGGCAAGACGCCACTGCCGCCTCGCGTTCGGCGATCGGGGAAACCAAAGTGCCCGCACCAAAGGTCACTCCGGCGAAGGGCCACTCTTACGTGTAGTCGAGCCTGGCCCCAGCCAACGAGGTGCAATTGGTCTCCTGCGGGCCTGCGGCGCTGACCACGACGCCCCCGTCGTCCGCCTGCGGCGCGGCGCCCGCCCACTGCGCGGGACCCGCGCAGCCCGCGCCCGCGAACTCCGTGGGGGTGTCCCTGGCCGTCCAGGTGGAGCCGAGGTCGACCCAGTCCTCTTGCGCTCTGGGGGGGAGGAGGTCGAGGGGAGAGGAGCACTTCGGGGGCCTTCTGACCCGGGTCAATCCAGGCCCGGGTCAGCAGGAAACCAAAGAACTGCCATGCAGGGAAAAAAAGCTGCAACGCAGGTCTTCGCAAACCCGGGTCAGCCAATATGCGCGGCCGCCTCGCGGCCACGAGCGGCACGCTAACCCGGGTCAGCCAGAGGGGGTCTTCGCAGGATCCTGCAGGATCCGGTGCCCTGGCTGACCCCCGTTTGCATTGACCCCCGTCTCGAGGCTCCCGAAGCACGGGGCCCCACTGTCCACCGGCAAGGGCTCAGAAGCTGAGCAGTCGGCATAAACCGGGACGTCCATTCCCTGTGCTTTTTTCGGTTTCGTGCGTGGTTTTTTCGCCGACTGATCAAGGATGCTCCTCGATGGTCCTCGCCGAAGGAAAAATGCACACGTCCGAGCGATGCCAGGATCGGTATAAACCGTTTCGCTTGTGAGAACGCTGTGGGGGTCACTTGAGCCAATATACGCAACAGAGGAGGTTGGCCCTGCCGCGGGACGCAGAGGGGCACGCCAGCACCGTGCGCCCCGAGTGGAGGCCAGCACCCTGACGCCGCCCGAGACTCGAGCAAGGATCTGAAAGCCAGGGCCCTCCTGAAAATCCCAATCTCCGACGACCGCTCCTCCTCCTCCTCCTCCTCCTCCTCCTCCTCCTCCTCCTCCTCCTCCTCCTCCTCCTCCTTCTCCTCTCCTCCTCCTCCTCCTCCCTCCTCCCCCTCTCCTCCTCCTCCTCCTTCTCCTCCCCCTCCTCCTCCCCCTTCTCCTCCTCCTCCTCCTCCCCCTTCTCCTGCTCCCCCTTCTCCTGGTCCCCCTTCTCCTCCTCCCACTTCTCCTGCTCCCCCTTCTCTCAATCCTGGCGATGTTCCTGAGTCTCGACTTCTGAGGGGCCGTTATCGGACACCGTGGCCATCAAAAACGGGTGTGGGGCGAACAACCCGCACTTGCTCCGAGCAGATAGCACCAATATCGCTGCACAGCCGGTATGGACAGAAAATGTCTGCCACCGAGCCCATACAGTTAGAGTTATGAGCCGGCACGCGTCGCTCCGCACAGCGCCGACACTCGACGACCGACTACCCGAGGCCGGGACTGGGACAAGATTCTGGACACATCGGGGAGGTCTGAGATCTGGCGGCTCTGGCGGCCGTGTCGGGCACCGCGGACGCTCCAGAGCGCCCCCGAACGCTCCGAGAGCGTTCTGGAACGCTCCCGAACGACCTAGTGTAGCCCAGCCCGCCCAGTCTGCGGTGCGCACGGGGCAAGATTGCATGCCTGAAGCTTGCGTGGGAACCGCGCGCGCATACACTTACGTATCTGGGCTTCGCAGGAACGCCCCAGGACAACGTATAGTGTATAATGTTCCGACCGGTTTTCCGGGCGACAGGTGTTGGCAAAAACTAGATGCACTCTGTTTGGGCCGTCATTTGCAACTGAGTGGTGGACAAGCATTGATAACATGGTATACTGGACATGTGGACAAGCTCGTGGCCCCGATTGTGCGCTTCGCGCAAGGCGCAGCCACCAACTTCTGGATGCCCCGGGAAATGCTCTGGGTCGGCGCTAGGTCCTCTGCAGTCGGGCTGGGCTGCTGAAATAAGGAACTTTCAATCTGGAAGAGAGCCTCTTCTTGGCCCCAAAAGGCGCCTGCCGGCAAGAGGAGGGCCCAGAGGAACAGCCATGGAAGGACCTACTGAACATCGAGCTGCTGAAATAAGGAACTTCCAATATGGAAGAGAGCCTCTGTTTGGCCCCAGGGGCGCCTGCCCGCAAGAGGAGGGCCCAGGGGAACGGCCGCGGGAGGACCTACGGCACATCGGGCCCCTTGCGCACCCACACTGGTCCTTGTTTCAGCGTCTGGACGGATCGGCAGCGAGCCCGGGGGGAAGCGAGAAGGGGCGGGGCCTTCTCGGAAGGCTCGGAAGACTCAAGGGGCCCAAGGGCACACAAACAAATACACACACAAATAAAAGGATTCCCAATATTTTCACATATGTTCTGGGTTTTTGTCTTCCCCCCCACCTCCCATAGTTTCGCATAGTTTCCTGGGGATCGAGGATTAATTGTGTTTGTGTTTTTTCCTCTCCTTATGTATAAGCTGTCTCTCTGCAGGCTGGAGCGTCTCTGAGAAGTCCTGCCGCCTTCTGAGCAGGCCTTCTCCTTCCCACTTCCCCCCTCGCTCGCCGCCGGACTGCGGGCCCCGCCGTCCCACATCCTGGCCTTCTCCGAAGAGGGCCGATTGGGACACCGGCGGCCCTTCCGCGAGGCCCAAACTCCGCTCAGAGTCGATCCCCAGGCAACCTGGCACGTCTCGCGTGGCGTGCCCAGCCATGGCGACGAGAAGCCTCCACAGAGGCCCCCTGGATGGGGTCGGAGGATCGCGCCGCATCCGCCGATGCATCGGCGATTCATCGGCGACGTCGACGATGGATCGGCACCATCGGCTTGGACAAAAAACCGGGCTACTCAGCGAGCCACATCGCCAATCCGTCGACCCCATCTGCTCGCACCTCGTCTGGGAGGCCTGCACTAGGAGGCAACAGACCAGGAGGACGAAACACGCCAGCAAGCGCCTTCGGTGACGAACGAACAACACACACCCATACCGGGTCGTTGGGAGAAGTACTGGCTATGGGTATGGGTGCGGGTTGTCGGACCCTGGGGAACGCTCCCGCTCGAGCGGGGACCCCCATCCGACAACACGCACCCATAGCCCTTTCCGATCCCCCTATGGGTATGGGTGTGTGTTGGTGGTTCGTCAGGGGCGGCGGCACACCGTCGCCGCCCCAGGAGGCTCCCCCCGGAGGAGGAGGAGGAGGAGGAGGAGGAGGAGGGATGGAGGAGGAGGAGGAGGGAGGAGGAGGAGGAAGGAGGAGGAGGAGGAGGAGGAGGAGGAGATGGGAGGAGGAGGAGGAGGAGGAGGAGAGGAGGAGGAGGAGGAGGAGGAGGAGATGGAGGAGGAAGGAGGAGGAGGAGGAGGAGGTAGGAGGAGGAGGAGGAGGCGCCCCAGGAGGCCCCCCCCCCCGAAAAAGCACCGCGCCGTCCGTCGTGGCTTTCGGGTCACAGCTCCGGCCTCAAGCGGCCGCTCGGGACCTTCTGGGCACTCCTGGCACGCCATCGGCGTGGCGCAGCCGCTGGAGAGCGCCGAGAACCGACGAAGACGCCTGAAAATTTTGGACATCGATCGACGGCGAGCCCAGGGGGGAAGTGAGAGGGGGCGGGCCTCCTCAGAAGGCTTGGGAGTCCCCCGGCCTCCTGAGAAGTTGCCCAAGCCTTCCCCGAAGACGGAGAAAACCTCTCAGAAGGCGCGAGGGCTCCTGAGAAGTCCCGCCGCCTTCTGAGAGGGCCTACTCCGTCTCGCTTCCCCCCCTCGCTCGCCGCCGAATCAATTCTATCCCCCCTCGAGCATCCCCCCCCCCCAGACGGTGTCCCTGACATCTGATGCAGGCAAGCAAACACACGCCCCGGCCTTGGAGAAGGAGGATGGAGGAGGAGGGAAAAGGAAGGAAAGGGAGGAGGAGGAAGAGGAGGAGGAGGAGGAGGAGGAGAAGAGGAGGAGAAGGAGGAGGAGGAGGAGGAAAGGGCGAGGATGAGGAGGAGGGAGAAGGAGGAGGAGGGATGAGGAGGAGGAGGAGGAGGAGGGAGGAGGGAGGAGGGAGGAGGAGAAAGAGAGAGGAGACGGAGAGGAGGAGGAGAGGAGAGAAGAGGAGGAGACCCTGTCTGCCCTTGGAGGGGAGAAGGGGACACGTGGGGGAGGAGGAGGAGGAGGAGGAGGAGGAGGGAGGAGGAGGAGGAGGAGGAGGAGAAAGACGATTGGGGGTCGATGCAATCCCGCCGCGAGCCCCCCCCCAAGGAAACCAAAAGGTACCAGTACCCCTACTCCCTAGACCTCGCCCAGGGTGCGCTCTGACTAGAATTTCAAAGCGAATCCAGCGGTGACGACGAGAGCCTCCCAGGAGGCCCAAAGAAGCGAAAACGATGGCAGGGCAGCGGTATCGGTACCTTTTCCTCCTGGGACGAGCCGCAACCCCCTTCCAAGAGAACGCGGGAGGCTCCCCCCCACACGCCCAAACTGAAGTTTCTTTCGGCGCATTCCCCGCTTGCTCCGCCTCCTTTTCCTCTCTATCCCACCCTCCTCTTATCCTCCTCCTCATCTCTCCCTGTGATCATCCTCCTCTCCTCCTCCTCCTCCTCTCCTCCGCCTCATCCTCCTCCTCTTCCTCCTCCTCCTCCTCCTCCGCCTCATCCTCATGGACTTCCTCCTCCTGATCCTGCTGGACATCCTCCCACTCATCCTCCTGCCCTCCTCCTCCTCCTCCTCCTTCCTCTATGCTCCTCCTCCTCCTTCCTCCTCTTCCTCCTCATCCTCCTCCTCCAAGTCCTCCTCCTCCTCCCCCTCCCCCTCCGCCACTACTTCCTTTATAAAACAGCTCCTCCCTGTCGCACCCCGAAGCCAGTCGGAAGGGCGGGCTGGGCGTTTCTTGTGAGAAATCCTTACAGAGGTTGGCAACAGCCTCACAGATAGTGGCGGGTGGTTTTCAGTGTGGCTCTCGCCTGGGCGCAGCGCACACTCCTCTTAAAAAATCGCAAGAGGTTCACGGGTTGAGGGCGGGCCTTTCCAAGATACGGCTCTCGCAATGGCGCAGCGCGCATTCGTTTTACAAATGTGCAGAAAGTGTAATGGATTTGAGGGCGGGCCATGTTCAGACTGTGGCTCTCGCATTAGCGCAGCGCAGATTCGTCTCAAAAATTGCAAGAGTGTCACGTGTTGAAGGTGAGTCGTTTTCAAAATGTGGCTCTCGCCTTGGCGCAGCGCACACCCACTGCAAATAATTGCAGAAAGTTTCACTGTTCGAAGGCGTGCCGTTTTCAACATGTGGCTCGCTCGCCTTAGTGCCGCGCACATTCGTCTTTACAAAAAGTCACGCAAAGTGTGGCTGTCGCCTTAGCGCCGCGCGCACTTATCTTAAACATCTGCAAGAGTTTCACGGATTCCCATGGTCAACGTACTGGTAATCGTATTTTGGAGCGATTCGGGATTGTCAAGGCGTAACAGATATGTTGATCCGAAATGTTGAAGTCTCAGAAAAGGTTGTCTGGCACGAATCCGGATCGTCAAGACGCAAGGTCAGGTTAATCCGCGGCGTTGGGGTCACGAGAATATCAGGATCTTCAAACGGTTGACTCCCAATGTGGTACTTCCCGCAGTGGAAGTAAATCCATGTAGAGGCCTATGAAGAGGGAGCTTGGAGAGAGGATGGATTCCAACATCGTTGATGAATCGTGGGTTAATATTGGTTTTCCTCCTCCTCCTCCTGACCCTCCTCCTCCTCCTCCTCCTCCTCCTCCTCCTCCTCCTCCTCCTCCTCCTCCACATCCTCCTCCTCCTTCCGACAAAGCGGGGGGCCCCCTCGGGCGCAGCCTAACCGACCCATCCCGTGACCAGCACCTTCCGTAACGCCACCATCGCCTTCCCAGCTCCCCTCCGGCCGCACGCCTGCGTCCTGGGCTGAGGCGAGGGGGACGTCACGGACAAGGCTGGGCGGCTAAAACAGGGCTAGGATCGGGATAAATCGCTCCAGAGCGTTCCGGAGCGCTCTCAGAGCGTTCCGGAACGCTCTGGAGCGGCCGCGGCGCCCAGTACAGCCTCCAAACCCGCCGATTCTCAGAGAGTTCGAGTTATCCCAATCCGATGTTGTCCCGATCTTCGCGTCGTTTTAGCGAGGGGGCACCCCGGCGTGCTCCCCAAACCACTGCGCGCAAGAGCGCCGGCCGGGGGCTCCTCCGCGGGGACGGAGGCCGCGCCGACCGCCTGCTGCAGCTCCACCGCCCCGCCGGCGGCACCGGCGGTGGCCTGTCGGGTCGGACAGACGTTTCTCGGCGGCGAGCGAGAGGAGGAGGAGCAGGAGGAGCAGGAGGAGGAGGAGGAGGAGGAGGAAAGGGAGGAGGAGGAGGAGGATGTCCAGCCGGATCAGAAGGAGGACGTCCAGGAGGAGGAGGCGGAGGAGGACAAGGAGGGGGGGTCCTCCGTCGCCCTGGCCGTGGCAAGCCCGGGTGGCCCTTCTCAGAAGGCTCGAAAGGCCTCGGGCCTTCCGAGAAGCTTCCTGAGGCTTCCCCGAAGACGCAAATAACTTCCTGAGGCTCCCCCGAAGACGCAAACAACTTCACAGAAGGGCGGAGGGCTTCTGAAAAGCCCCGCCGCCTTCTGAGAATGCCCCCTCTTTCTTTCTTCCCCCCCTCGCTCGCCGCCGAGCTTTTGTTCGAGTCCTCACCAACCTGAGCAGGTTGGAAGCTGGGGGTCGAAAAAGACCTGCGTTCAACGAACCATGGGCATGTCTGAGCCCAGTCTGCCCAGGGTTTTGTGAGCCCCTGGGACAATGGGGGTTCCGCCCATCAGGACGCACCCCGCGGGTGGGTGCTGGCACCCCGGGGGCCCTGGACATCGGGATCGAGGCCGCGGCTTTCTCTCTCCCCGTGGAAACTCACGAGAGCCTTGTTCAAGCATTGCGTTGCTCAAGTCTCGGGCGGCACCGCCCTTTCGAGTTCGAACCCGATGGTTTCGAAAGCCAGTCGAGCTCGTCTTCTCGAGGAAGTCTCAAGCGAAAAGCGCATTTCGAAATCTCTGCTCAGAGATTCAAAGTGAAATGCCAAGCGGTGAGGCCATTTCGAAACGACGGTTTGACTTGAGACGTCCTCAAAAAACAAGTTCGAACGATTTCGAAACGTTCGTGTTCGATTGCGAAAGGGCGCTGCTGCCCAAGACTTCCTCCAAACTAGTATTGAAAACCTTTCTGATTCGATTCTGGAATGGCGCTCCCGACCAGGACTTCCTCCGAAACAGACTTCAGAGCCTTCGGGTTCGATTTCGAAATGACACGCACGCCCAGGACTCCCTCGAAAATCTCAAGAAGGTCAGCACCTCTTCGGCTCGAATTCGCAGTGGCGCTCCTACCGAAGACTTGTCTTGGTGGACGCACGAAAGGGGTCAAACTTTCGTGACGCCGATGTACTAGACGCGAGCGCACGCTAATGCACTCTGAAGATGGGACTGCGAGGACATGCAAGGCCCCCATGACGTGCTACCGAAATGTTGCATCTTATGGCGCCAACCATCCGTGTCGCATCCATGTCGAGTCCATGTCGAACGCGTCGAATCCGTGTCGAACCCGTGTCGAATCCACGTCGAAATCACTCCGAATCCGCCTCGAGTCCGCGTCGGAGTGCAGGAGAAGGCTACCATCTGCAGGACAGGAACGATCACCCGAAGATACAAAATAAGAAACCGTCCAGCGAAAACAACCAAAAAAGCCAGATCGAGAAATCCGTGACTTAAACAGGGCTAGGATCGGGATAAATCGCTCCAGAGCGTTCCGGAGCGCTCTCAGAGCGTTCCGGAACGCTCTGGAGCGGCCGCGGCGCCCAATACATCCTCCAAACCCGCCGATTCTCAGAGATTTCGAATTATCCCGATCCGATTTTGTCCCGATCTTCGCGTCGTTTTACCGTGGCCCCTCAGGATCTCCCAACCGTGCGATTCACAGACAGGCGAGCACGGCGAGACACGCGCATCGCAGGTCGTAGCAGAACGCTGCACGGCGATGGGAAAAGCTCAGTGGCAATCTAAGCGGGGGGGATAGTATGGGATGCGAATGTACAATATCATGGACACTGAAGTAAGTATATGGGCCTGTTGTTCACGGCCCCGGGGCCCGAAAACGGCCCCCGCAGGCCGAACATAAAAAAATGGTCGAGCCCAACACCTCGAACCTCGCTCCCGTTCCTGCTGGCCGGAACCAGTGCTCGGCCACCTCCGATCCCCCGGCCTGCTCCGACCAAGAAGGTCCCCCGCACGAGCGTCTGCCTGGGATGTGATCAGTTGACCCCCAGCCGACTGCAATCTCCCCCAGTAGGAAGGCACCAACTATACACCAACACCGATCCTGGCCAGGATCACCCTGGGCCCAGGATCGGTGTGTATGCCTTCTTGCCTTGCGCAAGAAGGCATACACACCGATCCTGGGCCCAGGGTGATCCTGGGCCAGGATCGGTGTTGGTGTATAGTTGGTGCCCTCCGACATTATGACTACCTACCAGACCACCCCAACCCAACCCGAAGACCCGAATTTCGGGTTGGGGGGAATATGGGCTCCATATGTGTTTTTTCGACGTTCCCGGACCCCCCCCCCACTAGAAATCGAGGGTAAATCCGACCCTTCGGGTTGGGTTGGGGTGGTTTGGTGGGTGGAAAGATCACTTGACCCCCAGCCGACTGCAATCTTCCCCAGTCCCCCCTGTCGTCCAGCCCCAGCCTGCAGCAGCGCCAGCGGCAGCAGCGGCCGCCCCTCCGGCAGCGGTGGGCTGCCGTGCGCCGCGTCACAGAAGGCCAGGCGGGGCGCGGCGCCGCGCTGGAGCGCGCGCTCGTCCACTGCCCGCTCCCAGTCCTGGGGCTGCGAGGCGCAGAGGGGGAACCCGACGGCGACGACGACGACGACGACGACGACGACGACGACGAGGACGAAGATCGACGACGACGACGACGACGACGACGACGACGACGACGACGACGACGACGACGACGACGACGACGACGACGGCGGCGGCGGCGGCGGCGGCGGCGGCGGCGGCGGCGGCGGCGGCTCCCAGTCCTGAGGCGCGAGGCTCAGAGGAGGAGGCGGTGCCGATGCTACAGTCGAGTCCGACCGGAGAGGACACGCGAGAGGTCACCAGGCCGTTCCGAGGGCCACGCTGCTCCAGGGGAAAAAGAGCGGGCACGGGCCGCGACACGGGCGCTCGCCCACCGCCCGCTCCTGACCCTCTTGGTGGCGGTGGCCCCTGCGACTCAACACGGGCTCGAGGGCTGCTGACCTGCCTCTACCCGTCGGTCGGAAGGCAGTGGGCAGGAGCCAGAAGCAGGGAGGTGTTGGAGGCAGACTTGAAGGGGCCCCAGGACACACAAATAAATACACACAAATAAAAGGAGTCCCCATATTTTCCCATATTTTCTGGGTTTCTGTCTTCCCCCCCACTTCCCATATTTTCCCATATTTTCTTGGGAGTCGACGATTAATTGTGTCTGTGTGTTTCTTTCCCTCCTGAAGACTGGGCCTCCGCCCGCCCCCTGGAGAGGAGGGAAGAGGGAAGACGCTCGACTCTTGAAGCAGCAAGGCGCCAAAGTAGAGTAGCCTCTGTGGGCCTCCACAAATACAGAATTTCAACGACAGGCGTGTGGCCGTGTCGGTCGTCGCGTTGCTGCTGCTGCCGCCGGCGCGGACGCCGCGCTGGCCGCCGGGCCACCACGGCGACTCCGAAGGCGGGGCGCGAGGCTTCAAGGAGAACAGGACCGGAACGATGTCATGAGCTAGAGTTGCTTAGAGAACGGCACCTCGGATCGGATCTGGCTTGTTCAGGAGCTAGAGTTGACTAGAGAACGGCACCTGCCCACTCCATCGTTGCGAGCGCGCGCCCTCCTCCTCCTCCTCCTCCTCCTCCTCCTCCTCCTCCTCCTCCTCCTCCTCCTCATCCTCCTCCTCAATCTTCTGCTCATCCCTCCCTCCTGCTACCCCTGGCCCTCCTGCTGGATACGGTTCAGGATTTCCAGAGTACCGAATCTAGCGGCCATCGTTTCTGCAGCCCGTTTGTGGGAAATCAGGACATCTGGGAAATCCAATAAGTTTTGGAACAAACCATTATCATGACCTAAAGCTGGCTCCTCCGAGGCACTTCTGGGGAAAACATCGGAGGCCTCGCGCGGCAAATTGAGACCCAATGTCGGTCGGATCCACGTCGGATTTGCGTCGGGCTCCAATTGGACTGCGTCGGAATTGCCGGAATTACATCTGCGTCGCGTCGAAATTACGTCTGCGTCGGAAATACGTCGGAGCATCGCCGCGCGAACGTCGTCCCAAATCTGACGGGGCGGACGGGCGGACTAGATACAGCACAACTATTGAGCGCTGCGCGAGGCCTCCAGGATCCTCCTCGTAGGGAAAAGCTAATCACCGATACCGAGACCCTGGCCTCGCTTTCGCCACTTTCGGCGTCCGTGGAGGCCCTGGTCGGCACGGCTGGATTCGCCTCTCGGCGGTGGACAAACCTCCCTTTCGTAAACCTCCCCTTAGTGAAACGGCCTGGGACCGGACCCGCAAAAATGACGGCCGCGACGCCCTCTCGCGAACCGAAAACCGCCAATTCCTTAATCGACGTGTCAGGGTAGGAGGTCTGTCCGCCCCCGAGCCTCGAAATTCTACTCAGAACGCATCCCGGGAGAGGTCAGGGGAGGGGTCCCGCCATGCTCGCGCCGGGAAAAAACACGACGGGTGGGCTTGCGGGGCCGTTTTCGGCCTCCAGGAGCCCTCGCCGGGCCGGGCCCCAGGTCCGTCAAAAAC